TGACTGTTCGAGTGTTGTCATTGTGTTAGAGAGAGTAAATGTCATGAATAAATTTGTCATTAAACATAATCCAAGTTGAAGTGTTGCATCATTTTCTCTTTTAGGCATCTGCATTTGGTAGCAGGTCAAATTGACAAAGACCATGCAGAATAATGTAGTATTTTCATTCCACAGCAGAGAAAGCTGTGTAGTCTCTGTAAGTAGGTGTAGGGAAAAAAAAATATATCAGTATTAGTATCGGTTATCAGCCAAATAATATTGGATATCGGCCAAAAATCCAATATCGTGCATCCCTAATTTCTACACTTGATGTAGAAATAATCCCTACAGATACAAAATGAGCACTCCTGTTAGAGGGAAAAACACATGGTTTGATTTCTTTTAACTTTATCTTTTGTCTTCCGCTGGTTAAACCTACAGATTGCGTAACACCTGAGTACTCATCTCATTGATACTTCATGCTACGCTCAGCGTAAAGTCCTGATAGATTATTCCAGCTTGTGCTTTTATGTTGTAAATAACATCTTTTGTGTCTTGTGTGCCCATGTTTTAAGTTCCTGCTTTGTCACATCACTGTTTTTAGAAGCTTAACAATGTTTTTTTTTTAAATTACACCTTTTACATAGGATTAAATCATTGCCTTTATTTTTTCAGTACCTTTATATAGTTACATTAAAGGGTACGTTACAGCTTAGTCCATCCCCCGATTGCAAAAGATCCAGTTTTGTCTGCCTTTTGTCCACCAGTGCATTTTAATCCCCTCCTGCTCTCCTTTAAGTGTACTTCTATCCCTTCATGTTCATCGACACCTTCATGTGGTGCTAGTTACCTGTCAAAACAGATGTATTGAAAAATTATACCACAGCTATACGAGTAAAATCTCAAAGGTGTGTTTGTATTAATATGAAGAAGTCATGTTTGCATCCTGTTTTACAAGAATATCTGTTTAATGATGCGTTTGCACCATGGGTGTAATATCTCCACACGTTGCTGAGAGGAAGTGGGTAGAAAAAAACTATCTTATCTGAAGTTCCCTGCTGAGTCTGACCAGTTTCATGGTTAAAGTGCAACAATAGCTGGCGGCGCAGTGTTGGCGTTACTGAATGAAAGCTTTTATTTTATGATGAAAATGAAGCGCAGAAGGTTTATTTGTAAAAATGTGGCCGCCTGCAAATGTTCTCTTGCACCAGTGCTGTGAGGTGGCTTTAAAATATCCTGTGTATAGTGAGAGATGACAGTTTTGTGCACAGAAATGTTATTTGTTGCTTTATAGATGTGGAAAGTTTCAAATTGAGCATCTCGAATCAAATATATTTATCGAACTCCGTCCTTTGTGGTTCTTTAGTAATAATAGTGAATTTATCTGTTAGTCTTAATTATGTAAAGATAAGTCTATTTTTTCTTGAATGTGTTGTACAAAATGTGGAGCACCGATGTAAAGTGATTTAACGGGTCTATGTAAACGGCCCCACGTGTGCACAGCTGCTTGTTTACAGACAAACCTGCTGCAATCGAGCGCTTCTTGTGCTAAAAACAAGTCGGATCAGAGAAGCGTTCCTTTGTTTGGACCCAGAACGATTACCAGTGATATCTCAACGTTTGTGGGGCGTGAATGTCCTATGTATTTACAAGGCTGTAGAGGCCGTGTTAAAAGTGAAATTTGTAATTGTTGTTCATTTAAAGCGAACTGATGATGTAAAGGGAGTAGCATCTGGACCAGGGGTCTGCAACCTGCGGCTCTGGAGCCACATGTGGCTCTCTGGTCCCTCTGCAGCGGCTCTTTCATGCTTTGACCAAAACTGGCATAAAACTGAATTTTATTGGTTCGACAAACAACAAAAAAGAATTAGTTCCAACAGTTTTGCTGTCATTTTTTTATTCCCTGACGGCTCTCCTTGTTCAAAATTAATTAATCTCTAAATCTTTGTGCGTTCTCCGTCACAGCCGTATCTTATAATTTTCTAATCCACATGCACTTATCAGTTTGACAGCAGCCACTCCTTTTACTTTGAAATGCTTGAATGTAAGAAATATAATGCAGGGTACATTCAGACTTTGCTGCTTTATTTAATTCTTGAACATTATTGATGTGGTCAGTGATGACTCTTCAGCTGAGATTAGTTACAAACCAAGCTTTTTTTTTGACACGTACACTGAATGTTATCTTAAGCGATTTATGTCGGCGTGGTCGTAGTTAAGGAGTTTTCTTGTGGGAAAAATGTCCAGAACAAAAGTTGGAATCAGTGAATTATAAAGTTCATCTGAGCTTGTGGCTTTACCACAGTTTAATATGAAATAGATGAAGTCCGCAGCTTTATCAGACAGACCTTTTGCCTCGTTACCCCCCCCCCCTCCCCCCCTTCAGCGTAACACCAATATATTCAAAAGCACAGCTCTGAAAAGTTCTGGTGTTAAAACGTATAAACGAATCCCAACATTTCATCTCATCAAAGCTCGACAAAACCCTGAACCTCACTTCTGTCATGCAGATGTTGAGCAGTCGGATGTAAAGAGTTTGTTCCACTCCACGAATGTTTTATTTTGTCGACCCGTCTGTATCGGTGAAGTGTTTCCTTTTTTTGTTTATCATTGGAAATGATGTATTTTGCTGAGAGCAATAAAATAAAGTGTGTGATATAAACGTTTGTCACCTTAATGCATTAATCATACCAGTAATTTGCTGTTTATTGAAAAGTATCTCTGCTGTTCTCCAAAGAGCTTCTAGTACACATTAGTAATTTAAATAATATATTCTGTACCCCTCAAAGGTTTTCAGTAAAAAAAAAGATTCAGTTTAATGCACAGCATTTAGCCATTAAAAGTGTACACAAAAGCTGAACAAGCCTCTGGATTGATAAACATTAGCCC